AAGAGGTGACTTTTTAACTCCTCTTTTGCCTCAGGCTTTTCCCTTAGCTGGCATTGATAATTTTTTATAAAGTTACCTTGTTTTTAAAGAGTAAACGTTGTTTATCCGTTGGGGGTTGCAGGAGAGCGATCAAGCTGCAGCCGACCGGAAGGACTGCTGCCACGCCCCCCCCAAGTCTGTTTTTTTTCAAGGATTTTTTGGTCCTCGTGGGGGATTGGGTTTATATTGCTATTTGCTTTCTGTGTATCTGTTGTATGTTTGTGTGTATTTACTTTTGGAAGGGCAGGATAAAGATTTCTAAATAAATATAGGATTTGGAAAGTGGTGAAAATTGTATAAAATGGGTAATGGGAAAGGGGTATATAGCTGCAAGAAAATTGTTCTTCAAATTGTTCATCAAAGTAAAGAAAATTGTTCATCAAAGGATCCTAAGTAAGCTCAATAGTCACGGAATAAAAGGACAAGTCCTTTTGTGGATCAAAAACTGGCTAAATAGGAAACACAGAGTGAATATAAATGGGCAGTTTTCTCAGTGGAGGGTGGTACGCAGTGGGGTACCACAAGGATCAGTACTCAGTCCAGTGCTTTTTCAGGATGGTGAAAACCAGGGAGGACTGTGAGGTGCTCCAAAGGGATCTGTCGAGGATGGGTGAGTGGGCATCAACGTGGTAAATGGGGTTCAATGTGGCCAAGTGCAAAGTGTCTGAACTGGTGGAGACTGACCAAGAGAGAGATCTTGGAATCATAGTAGATAACTCAATGAAAATGTCAAGATAGTGTGCGACTGCTATAAAAAAGGCCAACGCTATGCTGGGGATTATTAGGAAGAGAATTGAAAACAAATCAGCTAGTATCATAATGCCCCTGTATAAATCAATGGTGCAACCTCATTTGGAATACTGTGTACAGTTCTGGTCACCACACCTCAAAAAGGATATTATAGCATTGGGAAAAGTGCAGAAAAGGGTAACTAGAATGACAGAAGGGTTGGAACACTTTCCCTATGAAGAAAGGTTAAAATGCTTGGGGCTCTTTAGCTTGGAGAAATGACGGCTGAGGGGTGACATGATCAAGGATTATAAGATTATGAATGGGATAGAGCAGGTAGAGAAAAAAGTACTTTTCTCCCTTTCTCACAATACAAGAACTCATGGGCACTCAATGAAATTGCTGAGCAGTCGGGTTAGAACAGGTAAAAGGAAGTACTTCTTCACCCAAAGAGTGATTAAGACATGGAATTCACTGCCACAGGAGGAGGTGGCAGCTACAAGCATGGACGGCTTCAAGAGGGAATTAGATAAACATATGGAGCAGAGGTCCACCAGCGGCTATTAGCCACAAGGTATAGATAGGAACTCTCAGTCTGGGGCAAATGATGCACTGTTTTCTTGGTGCTTGGGTTGGTGGTGGTAAAAGTGGGAGGGCTTCTGGTGTCCTGGCCCCACTAATGGACCTCCTAATGGCACCTGGTATTTTTGGCCACTGTGTGACAGTTGGACTTCTCTTATGTTCTTATGTTCTCTCTGTCATTGAGGCTGGGGAATGGTTTCCTTCAAAACTAGCTTTGAATCAGGTGGAGATATTACTTTTGTTCTTGAAAGCTTGTGGATTGTCTCTTTTGGTCGATGTCTTGCTTATATAATTTTTATGTTTCTGTTCATACATCATGGACAGTTATGTCATGCAGAGGAAATTGTGGTAGAGTTTGGCAGGTTATTTTTTATTTCTCTTCTCTTCTGTGGCTACATCACAAGTATATCAGGAACAGGAAATGTGTTAGAAAATGATTATATTTTAGACAGGAGTCTGTTATACAAACAAGTCTTAATGTAGTGGACTTTTAAAAAAATGCTGTTAAAATCAGTGAGAAATTTTAACTGAATGTGCTGGATCTCACAGGAAGAAAAAGTCAGTTATACTGATATTTTATCTAGGTGCCAGCCATAAAATCTGTGTAGGAAGTTTCTACAGCTGTGGTCCCATTGTTGCTCAGGCATTGCTTCTAAAGCCTTCCTGGTTCAAACTCTTCAAGTTTCAGGCAACAGACAACTTTAAGTTCATTTTTCTGCTATTGAATAAAATTGTGCTGATATATGCTCGCTTCAGCATTTTTCCAGTAGTTGTTATTGTTCAGTCGCACAGTCGAGTCCGACTCTTCACGACCCCATGGACCACATCACGCCAGGCCAGGGGGTGGCCAAACTTGCTCAAAATAAGAGCCACATAGAATAAACATCAGATGTTTGAGAGCCGCAAGACATGAACAAATATTACACACACGTTTCTATTTAAAATATGCACATTTGATTTTTATTAACATTAAATGAGACTGCCAGAAATAAAAACAAAAGGGCAAAAAACATATTGATAATGATATTTATTTGTCTAGAGATAGAGGTGAAAAGAAAGAAGGAAAGAGGTGGAAAGAAAGAGACAGAGAAACAAAGAAAGCAAATGGGAGGGAGGGAGGAAGGGAGAGAGAGAGCATGGCTCCCCTTCGCTTCCCCAACCACCCTTCCGGGAGCTGCACAATATGTGTGAAAGAGCCGCATGTGGCCCCCAAGTCGCAGTTTGGCCACCCCTGCGCCAGGCCCTCCTGTCCTCCATTGTCCTCTGGAGTTTGCTCAACTTCATGTTGGTTGAAGATAACATTGTCTAACCATCTCATCCTTTGCCTTCCCCTTCTTCTTTTTCCTTCAATCTTTCCCAGCATCAAGGTCTTCTGCAGTGAGTGCTCCCTTCTCATTTGGTGGCCAAAGTATTTGAGCTTCAGCTTCAGTATCTGGCCTTCCAGGGAACAGTTAGGGTTGATTTCTTTTAGGATTGACTGATTTGATCTCCTTACGGTCCAGCTCTCTAGGAATTTCCTAACCTGGAGTTGACAACTCTATCTCCTTCACACCCAATAGCCAACCTACCTTTATCTGCTCCTGTGTCTTAAGCTCCTTTCCCCCAGCAGCCTTTGCCTAGGAAAACTCTGGCCCAGTTGTGTGGGGCCGGCCATTAGGCCAAGCCCACTTGCATGGTAGGGAATTCTTAAGGACTTGTGGGGTGGCATCTCACTTTCCCCTGCACTCTCTTCCCCATACTATTTCTTCTTTCCCTCTTCCTGGCAACCTCCATATCCTTTCCCCTTCCCCTGCTTCATTCTGTCCTTCTCAGCCATTCACCAACCTATATTTTATCTGCCTCCCAACTTCAGCTATATTTAATATTCATTTACTTCATTTATACCCAAACTTTCTTCACAGTGGGGATCAAAGCAGCTTACATTATTCTCCTCTCCTCTTTTTTATCCTCACAACAGCCCTGTGAGGTAGGGTAGGTTGAAAGTATGTGTCAGGTCCAAAATCATCCAGTGAGCTTCCACAACAAGAAGGGGGGTTGAACCCGGGTTTCCCAGACCCTGCTCTGAAGCTTTAGCTGCTATACCACACTGGCTTTCATTGGGTGGCTGGTGTTGAAGCAACCAGGCCTGACTGAGTCATGCAAGTCGGGCAGTATCAAGTCACCCAGAGGTTGCTTCCAGGCCTAGGACTGCCAGCCTCCATGTGGGACCTCGAGATCTCCCAGAATTAAACCTGAATGCCAGATGACAGAAATCTGTCCACCTGGACTGCTTTTGAGGATGGACACTATGGCATTATGTTTGGCTGAGGCCTCTTCTCTAAGACTCCACCACAAAATCTTCAGGAATTTACAACCTGGAGCTGGAACCCCTAGTCAGGCCTGGCCCCAATGAGTCCTCTCTCAAAGACCAAAATAGGCTTGGAAAGGCCCCTGCCCCTCCCTTATTCTTACCTAAACCCAGCCTGGAATACTGTGGTTGCCTAGCAGCAGCTGCTGAGGGAATCTGTTCTTTAAAGCTACAAGATGCTCCTTGTATCATTTGCACGTGAGTGTTTTAAAAAATAAGACATATTTGTTTGTTTTAAATTTCACATTTTTTCCTGCAAACCTGGAGCCTTTTTCAGGTTTGTTGAAATATCTGTCTTGCTTGTTCACAGCTCCCATCATTGGATTTAAATATCCAAAGATCTGTCTGGTGTCGCTATTAGAATATAGATATATTTTTTTGAAAATAATTTAAACTTCAGTACATCTATTTCTTTAAGCTATAATGTATTATTATATATATAATTCCATTTAATTGCATCTTTTCCATTTCTCCAGATGTGCACTGGCAACTACATATTTGTTCCATATATGATAACTCCACATAACAAAGTATACTGTTGTGACAGCAGTTTTATGAAAGGATTGACTGAGTTAATGCAACCCAGCTTTGAATTATTGCTTGGGCCAATATGCTTACCCTTGGTGGATCGCTTTATTCAGCTTTTGAAAGTGGCACAGGCCAGCTCAAGGTAAGGACTCTTGGATAGCATGACCAAGGCCAGTCATAAAGGGACAAATTTATGTGTGTTTCCAGGGCCTTGGGGGAGGGGGGGGGTGCCGGAACTCTTAAGAGGGAAATACAGTTTTCAATCTGTACACTGAAAACTCATGAACTTTTAAACATTTAAAAAAGAATTTTGTCGAAGTGGTTCTGGAACTCTGTTATCCTGCGTTCCCCCAGAAAAAAGCCCTGTGTGTTCTAGTTCTGAAGCTTCTCATGCTGTCTTCCATTTGGTATTACAGCAGTTGTTCATTTATCAGTATTATGAGAGGTTTTCACGATTCATGATTCTTTAAAAATTCCCTCTGAAACTGAGAGGCTGCGGACCATTGTGTGATTTTCACATGCCTTAAGTGATCAGATCACGACTACTTATATTTACTTCATTAATCACATCGTATGTTCTATGCCATTTCTGAAATCAAGTTCTGATTCTGTTTTGCAGTTAATGTTTACAAAAGTACCAGAATGACAGATCGACATCTGTAGCCCATAAGAGTAGTTGCTGTAGAAGCAGTTATCCAAGTGGGAGTCAGCCATTATTAATGCTTATATTGTTTATTCTTTTTTATTTTAGCCAGTACTTCAGGGAGTCAATTCTGAATGATATCAGAAAAGCTCGTAAATGTGTACACAGTGAAAGAGCTAGCTGCAGAGTTGGCAAGGATACGACAAAGGGTGGATAACATTGAGCTTCTCTCCGCAGACATTGTGATAAACTTGTTGTTATCATACAGAGATATTCAGGTAGGAATTTGAATTTAAATTCTATTAAGAACATTATTCTGTCTCTTTTAATTATCTTCATTTCATCATTATATTGCAGGCAGAAGTATATTATACCTCTTGCAGGCCCAATTTCAGAAAATTTTCAGACTAAATGCTTGGACAGTAATGGGGTCAGGGTTAGCTAATACTTCCAGTTTTTTAAAAAAGTAATGCATAATGAAAGCTCTAGGTTAAACAGTTCACTGGCACTTGTGTCTCATTGCAGGGTGTCGAACACAGATTTAACAATAGAGCTTTGTTACTATGTGTGGCGGAACATGCCTGCTCTGACTTGCAGGCTCTATTCTGCCCTGTCCTCCTATGTGTTTCTCCACACCTGGAGGGGCTTTTCTTTCACTCTCAGGGTAGCTCGCCATCACCATTTGACCTTCTGCCGGAATTACCCACTGGGAGGGTCAGGACTCCCAGCTTCCCTTCCAGATCCTGAGACCTTACCTCTGTGCCGCCTGCCACCCAGCACCTGGTCACCATGGGGACAGATTACAGCCTTGCACATCCCTGGAGGAATGGCCTCTTGCCAACTACCTGCCTTCCTCCTCTGGCACTCCTTTTAAAATAGTGTGTCCAAGATGATAGAGGTCTATGTGGTATAGAGAACTATTCCCAGCATCAAAAGTTATAAAGTATTTGTTTAAAAGTTATGTTTACAAGCATAGTTTTAGTACAGCACCAATTGAGCAAGGGATACCAAAGAAATGGTAAAAATGCAATCCTATGTCCCTCTCTTTATACATGCCCTATCAGATGTTAAAATATAAGACAGGCTCTTTAGCTGTAATAAGATCTAGCTCTCTACAAAGTAACCATTACCTTGAGGCTCCCTTCAGCTGTCCATGCCAGCCACATGGTCAGTGGCTGCCTCCTCCCAGCGGAATGGACTGTGTATGCTTGTGGACACAGCACCCAAGGAAAAGAACTTCCTCCTGGCTCCCAGGAGTTTTATCATATCTGTTTCTCCTCCCACTGGCCAGGTCATGCCAGGTCAAAGAAGCGTTTGCTGGAGATTATTCCTGGCGCCCCTCTAGTTTAAAGTTCTCCAAACCCCTGTTTCCTGCTTGAACGGGGGGGGGGACCATCCCATTGTCTCTCCTGCTCGAGCTATTAGCATGTGTATAAAGGTAAGCTGGACAGCATTTGAACTGACTGCGTTCTGCCCAAAGAGAAGAATTAAAAATAAAAAAACCCCTCAGAGTGGAGGTTTTGCTCATTTCAATCCTCCAAAGAAAAAACACATTTCTTCATACTGTGACAACTTTGTGCATCTGTGCCTCAATCTGAAGGAAAGGATGGGTGCCTAATGACTAGATTTTTTAAAAAAGTTGTATATGGTATGGAACACTGTATAAGCATAACAGCTTAGACATAAAGAACTATGTGGGAACCATCCATGCATGTACTTGGTTTCTAAGACCCCCTCACAACATGAGGTCCCCCCACCCAAAGTGGCCCCAAATGTCTGTCCTGAAAATTAGCAGACCCACAAGAGTGAATCTATTAAGAAACTTCGATTCAGAATACACTGGGCAGATTACTATACTAGCCTTAGGTTACCATGGCCCTTGTATGAACAGTTAATTTTTTTTAGCAAAGTCTGTTTTTTAATCTTGAATGGAAAAGTTCAGTTCTACAGTGTGTGCAAAGGTTACTAAAACTGCAGTACATTATTATATCAATCCAGTAAGTGAGACACCCATGCACAGAAGTAGTCTTCCATTTGTGTAATTATGCTGAACATAGATGTGCATAAGGCACAAATCTTCATCAGTATCAAAATGCTTAACCAAGCACCACTGAGCAGGGTAGAAGTATGCTTTGATGTGAATTGGCATGTGCATACTTATCTGCAACCATTTGCTGTCATGTGCATCTAATTGCCCACAAGTAGAGCTTAACCAAGGCATATGTATGCAAGGAAAACCCTGTTTATACCAAGGTATATACAGGTGGATAGCCATGTTGGTCTGAAGCAACAGAACAAAGTTTGAGTCCAGGGGCACCTTTAAGTTTAATTCTGGGTATAAGCTTTCATCTGCATGCACTTCTTCAAATACATTGAAACAGCCTCAAGCCTTACATATACGGTAGGTGGGGGGCCTTAATTGCCAGGAAGGGCTGGTTAGACCTATGAATAGCAGCAAATTAGCATACAAATAAAAAAGTTAACTGACAGATATGAGAAGTAAGTTTGAGTCCAGTGGCACCTTTAAGACCAACAAAGTTTAACTTGCCCTTCTTGAGTGGTAACTCTGGTTGAAAATCATTTCAAGGCTTAAGGCTGACCTGTCAAGTTTATTCTTAAATTTGCCAGGGTCAACGCATTGGAATATCTTGGAGTTGTAGCAGACGGTAGGCAGGAGACAATGTGCAAGGATACTGTAATGATTTTCAACATCTAATAAAGGCTGGAGAACCCATTCGAAGTCTTGAGTATATCCCTTCAGACAATGTCTGAAGATCTACAGTAGTTAATGCTTCCTTTTCCTTTTTTGCTTTTAAACAACCCTTTTTCTCTGTCTCTTGGAAGGATTATGATTCTATTGTCAAACTGGTAGAAACATTAGAAAAACTTCCAACGTTTGACTTGGCTTTGCATCATCATGTGAAATTTCATTATGCATTTGCACTGAACAGGTGAGAACTTTTCCTTCATCATAAAATTACAGTTCTTATTGTTGCATTCATGTAACTTGTTTCCTGAAAAGCTAGTTCTCTACAGGCCTGATTCTCTAAAGAATCATTTTTTGGAATCTACTGTCCAAATTAAATCTTTCAGATGGTATTGCATGTACTCAAGCTATGCCAGAGGAGCATAAAACATCCACTTTTCCCAGAAAGTAAGGCTCAGCAGCAGCGTGTTCAAAGCATCTTCCTCTATCCCTTTTATATTTAGATGCCATCTTTGTACAGGTGGTTGCTTATTTTGAATAAAACACCTGATAATCATTTGTTACTAATGCCAGTGTGTATGCTATACCATCTATCTCTGACACCTGGATACATTTTTGCTTGCATCAGGTGAGAATGACATTATACATTCATTTTACAGATTTAAAATTGAACGTGGATGTTCATTCATTCTTCAGAATCAAATAAGCCATGTGACAAGATTTTAGATGAGATTTGATTTTTAGGAAAATGATGCTGGGTTGTAAACGGTGCTTTGAATTATATAGTTTAAATATATGAAAAAAATCTGTTAAGAATAAAGATTATCAGTAGTTACTTTTATCAGGCCAAAGGAAAATGCCAACTGGAATAGTATAAGTATGATCCAACCAAAGTTAAAATGTTTTTTTTAATTTTTAATTTTATCCTGGTTTTTCATTACATGAAATAGCTAACAAAATTGAAACATATACAACAATGCATCACTATTTAAAAAATACCCTAAATGTGCAAACATATAAATAATAAAGATACAATATCACACCCAACCCCCCCAAACTAAAGCAGAATAATTTACCCAAATTAATCTTTTGTCACATGAAGTTAATGTTTATATTACTGTGATTACTTATAGACCAACTATTGGTTGCAAGTCATCAAAGGATGTGCATATATGAAATGGCTATTTTATATATATACATATTATATATATATTATATATATAATAGCAATAGACTCAAATAAATTGCCAACTCCCAAGTGGGCTATTATATATAATTTAATACAATTTAATAACAACAATTATGTAAATGTAACAATTTTTGTTCCATCTTTCTCTCAGTAAGGATTGCTTGGGAAAGTGGTTTTTGTTTTTATACAGACATCAAGTTGAGGAAGCTTGCTAGGCTTGAAGAAAACGATAAGCTCTGTTACTGTAAGGTCTGAGTGAATCAAGATAAGCTATTCACTTCAGGGAGGCTTTTTAGTAAAGAAACTGCTTCTACAGAAGCCCATTCAGAGAAATTCTAAGCTATAGTGGATCTTCTTCATGGTTTCTGTGCATTCACACCTCTGGGATATAGTGTGCCTGTGCCAACTTTGATCGGTTCCTCTTGAAAGTGAAAGGGATTTTCGTGCCCGTTCCCCAGTCACACGCCGGCCCCACTGTGCATGACCAAAGGAGGGGCACAACAATCCCGCCAGTTCTCTTCTGACCGCCGCGCTGGTAAGATCTTCTTTGCTTCGGTCGGTAAAACTTTTGGCTTTAAGGCTTAGTCCTCTTTTTCTTTGAAATTTCTTTGCCTTTTTTCTTGTTTTTTATTAAGTGAAAGGACATTGTTACTACAAATTCATTGTTGTTTTTTCCAGACTTTATCATTTGGTCTCTTTTTCACAGACTGCGTGTGTCCCCCCCCCCCACCCCCTTGGCCAACAGTCCTATGGCCAAGAGCTGGGGTTTCTTTAAACGGTGCCTCAAGTGCGGTAGTAAAATCGCTCCCCCGGACAGACACTCGCTTTGCCTTCTGTGCCTTGGGGAATCACACCAAGTGGACTCCTGTGCACATTGCGTGAAGTTCTCGAAGCAGACGAGAAAGAACAGAGCTGCTAGACTTTGCATCGCGCTTCTGAAGTTAGCGCTCTCACCGATGTCATCACAGGACACTTTGGGGCATGCATCAATGGCTGTGCTGTCCCTGGTACCGACTAACTCAGATGTTGACCGCCCGATGCTGAAACGCTCGGCCCAGACATCTCAGTCCTTAGCCCATACTCCCTCCAAAAAATGCAGGGAAGGCAAGGATGATTGGCCAGTCAAGCACAAAAAGCATAAGAAAACTCCCCCTATGCAAACTCCGCTGACCTCCCAAAGAGCCACGGAGTTGAATCTTGTGGGGGCTGCTTCGCTTGACTCTTCAAGCCAAGAACAGCCACAAGGTGTACCGCGGTCACCTTTGCTGCATCCTATTCAGCTCACTGACTCTGAGCACGATATGGACTTGACGCAAATCTCCCAGTCTTCCAGTGTCGAAAGCCTACACTCCAACCGTGGAGCCGCCACCTTTGTCCGTCCTTCACCATTCTGACCCAATGATCGAGAATGGCCATTGGCACCGATCCATATGCCGCCACCCCCCTGGGATCAGCGGCAATGGCAATACATGTATGGGGCCTATCCATTCTTGAGTGGCATGCCGTGGTTCCCACCCCAGCCGGTGGATTGGGACCATCAGTCTACCTCCTCCCGGCTCTCTGTATCAAGATCCTTCATCGACGCTGGAGTTTGTGTGACCTCAGCCATCGAGACCGACGGACAAACCTTCCAAACCACTGCCTCCGATAGTTCCCAAGTTTAAAGGGCCATCGGACCCGGTTCCATCGACACTGATGTTGCCTATTTCCTTTTCCGAACTGTCTGAACATTCCGTTTCTTCTGACACCTCCTCCCAATCAGGAGATAAAAACCCCGATCCTCAGATGGAACTCTCACCACCTCAACAAGTGGGCGATGATCGTCCAATTTCTCCGTCAGAGGATCTCATATCTTACAGAGACTTTATCAGACGGATGGCAAACACGTTGACCCTGTCTACGGTGCAACCCTCGCCTACCGTAATGGACTTTGTGTTCGATATCGTACAGATGGACACCTCTACCCCAATAGCCTTACTGATGACGTCGGTCCTGCTTCAGGCGGCTAAAACCCCATGGTCTCACCCGGCATCTACCCGTCTCAAGCCGGAAAGTAGATAATATGTATAAGGTGCAGGAGCAAGGTGCTGAGTTTTTATTCACCCACCCTAAACCTAATTCCATCATAGTCACTTCTTCCAAAGGCAGATGCAGTCATTCCACCCCTCGCGAGAAAGAAGGGAGAAAAATTGGTTTGTTTAAAAGAAAATTTTATTCTGCTGGAGCACTTGGCATCAAGACTTCAAACTATACTGCATGTATGGGCAGATATCAGTTTGCTCTCTGGGAGCAGATGTCCGAGTTTATTGCAACCCTCCCTGAGGACTCTGTCAGGCTCGCAGGATTCAAAAGGAGGGAATGCTTTCGGCCAAGCATCAGCTCAATGCAGCTAAACACACACTGGATGTGACCGCCAAAACGCTGACTTCAGCAGTTACCCTCCGATGACATGCCTGGTTGCGTTCTACTGCGTTACCACAGGACCTCCCATTCGAGGCTGAGGGCCTCTTCAGTGCCATGACTGATATGGTTCTGCAAGACCTAGACAAAAGCATAAAGACGTCACAGAATTTAGGAGTCACGTCGGCTCCTAAACTGTCCAAAGTGAAATCCTGGAACAAGCCATGGTCTCGCAGATCTTCTCTTAAGTCGTCCCCAGAAACAAAGTGGCAACACTCACCTACTGTGTCTTCCCGCCGCTATGGGCACAAACCAAAATTCTCATCCGCCACTCAGCCTAAGACTCCGAAAGCTCCCAAGCAGAGCCTTTGACTCCTGTCATCCCCCCCCTACCCGCCTGTCTCCCTACCTGGCTGCCTGGCAGTGAATAACGTCAGACCGGTGGGTACTCTCCATCATCAAAACACGGTACCTCATAAAATTTATCCAGATACCCGAGGCCCCCAACTTCATAATTACCCCACCATACAGTACACTCCTGGAAGAAATCCAGAACCTTCTTCAAAAGGACGCTATAGAACCAATCCCAACAGCACAACGTCAACACGGGTTCTACTCCTGTTATTTTACGGTTCCCAAAAAAGATGGAGGCCTCCGTCCTATTATGGACCTCAGGGGTCTCAACTGGTTTATCTCATATCGGAAATTCCGAATGACAACATTACAAAGCATTCTCCCCCTTCTCAGAGAAGGTGTCTAGATGGTAACCCTGGACTTGTAAGTTGCATATTTTCATATAACTATCCACCCATCTCACAGGAAGTTTTTCCGTTTTGCGGTCACAAAAAGCCATTTTCAGTACAAAGCCCTCCCTTTTGGACTCTCAACGGCACCCAGAGTCTTTACAAAAATGATGATTGTCATCACAGCGTGCCTCTGTCTCCAGAGTGTACAGATCTTTCTGTACATAGACAATTGGTTGTTGATAGCAAGCTCCAGAGAGACTCTGCTCAACCATATCGATTTAATGCTGGTCATCCTAGATGCGTTGGGCCTGAGGGTGAACCTAAAAAAGTCAATGCTCTTTCCTTCATTGAGAGTCCAGTTTATCGGAGCAATTTTGGATTCGACTGTCTGCCGAGCCTTTCTCCCTCCCAAAAGGGCGGGAGACATTATCGCTCTCATCAACCTGATAAGAACACAGGGAGATGCATCAGCAAAGCAGATCCAACGGCTCTTGGGTCTGATGGCCGCCACCACAGCGGTACTTGTCTTCGCCAGATTACAGATGAGACCACTTCAGCTGTGGTTTCCCAAACATTTCCATCCACAGTGGCAGTCCAATCTCAACAGTTTGTGCTACCTGTGCAAGTGCTGGATTCCCTACAGTGGTGGGAAACTCCAGACAACCTCCTTCAGGGAACCCCATTTCTTGCACCCATCCCCGAAATGACCCTAACCACGGATGCATCCCTGTGGGGATGGGGGGCTCACCTCCAAGGTGTGTGTTTGCTGTACAGTGGCAATCCTGACAGACAACACCACCGCACTGTGTTACCTGAACAGGCAAGGCGGGACAGTGTCCAGGGGACTTTATCGACTGGCCCTGGAGATTTGGACCGAATGTCAGTCTGGGGGCATGTTCATCATTGCTGCTCACCTGCCAGGATCACTCAATGTGCATGTGAACTTTCTGAGCAGGGGAGGCGCATCCCTCCATGAGTGGGATCTCAACTGGGCTTACCTCCAACCAATTTTCCACAAATGGGGTTGCCCAGAAATAGATGTGTTTGCAATGCGTCAGAATGCGAAGTGTCATCTGTTCTGTACCAGGGTGAGACAGGACCCACTGTCCCTGAGGGACGGCCTTCTTTTCCCATGGTCCCACAGGCACATATACCTGTTCCCACCAATTCCTTTACTTACCAAAGTGCTAAGCAAGATCATGAAGGAACAACCTCAATGTATCCTCATGGTACCATGGTACCAAGGTCAGTACTGGTTCCCGACTCTACTCCACATGTCCCGGGGCACCTACATACATTTCCCCCTGGCACCGGATCTCCTCCTGGCTCAGGAGGGCAGAGTGCTTCACCACAATGTACCATACCTTAAACTCACGGCATGGAGGATCCCCTAACACATCTCAAACACAGGATAGACCTTGTTCTGTTGAACTGTCGGAAGCCAGCTACACGTGCTTCTGTCAGCCTCTCAGGAACTCTCAGATGCAATAAATCCTTTTACAAGCTTTATTGTGAAATCAGGAAAGTTGCTGTAAAGTCCAACTCTTTGACAGAACTAAAGAATATTACAAAGTGGGGAACTACGAGACCTCTGGTCCAGCCCTCATTCATACGTCATGATTACATGGTGCATAGACAGGTTAACACAGGTTAATACAGTTCAGTTAAGACAGTGAGAATATTATCTTGTAAGACTCACTCGAAGGCCATGAGAACAAGAAACAGTGAAAGTTCTCTCTGGCCCATATGGAGGAGGTTTCCTTTCACAGTGTTTCAGGCGCAGCTAATCTAAGGTTCGCACAGACATGTCTCAATCACCCCTCCCACAAGAATGTCAGAGGAGGACCTTGCAGACAGATTGATACAATGCCAGCAGGTGCTAAACGGGATCACGGGAACTACAAGCGGGAAGGGGAACAACAGGCAAAGCAATAACAGAGCATAGCTGTGTACATCAGAGAGCCACAGTTACAAACATGATGACCCAATGACCT